AGAGCCACCATGCCCAGCCGTATGGGCTCATTTTAACTGGACTGCCTCTAGAAAGACCCTGTCTCCATGGCTCGGCCCCCATGGCCCAGTGGTTATGGCGCCGCCCACATATACCGAGGCTGGTGGGTTCAAACCAGCCCGGGGCAGCTAAAACAGCAATGACAACTGCAACAAAAAATAGCCAGGCATTGTGGTGGGTGCCTGTAGTCCCGGCTACTTGGGAGGCTGAGGCAAGAGAATCAATTGAGCCCAAGAGTTTGAGGTTGCTGTGAGCTGTGATGTCATAGGACTCTACTGAGAGCAACATAGTAAGACTCAGTCTCAAAAAAGAAAAAAAAAAAAACCCTGTCTCCAAATATAGTCACATTCTGAGGTTAGGAGTTGAACATGTGAATTTTCAGGGGGATATGGTTCAGCACACAGTATGCACTGTCTGCTGCCATAATTCCTGCTCCTCACAAAATTAACACAAGATATTAGCAATCTACTGTAGCACATTTTGTCTTCCTCCACCCAAATCCATTGACAGTTAACCGAGGTGAATTGCTGATCTGGTATCTTCTCTCTTTTTTTTTTTTTTTTTGAGATGGAGTCTCATTTTGTTGCCTTGGGTAGAGTGCTGTAGCATCATAACTCACAGCAACCTCAAAGTCTTAGCTCAAGTGATGCTCTTGCCTCAGTTTTTCTACTTTTAGTAGAGACAGGGTCTCACTCTTGCTCAGTCTGGTCTTGAACTCCTGAGCTCAAGCAATCCACCTGCGTTGGCCTCTCAGAGTGCTTGGAGTACAGGTGTGAGCCACCATGGCCGCCCATCACATATCTTCTCCTCAACAGCTGACATAACTTAGTTAAGACCCTCTACTTGTCTACCCCACAAGGCTCGCAAAGTACATCATGTACATGACCTCATTTACCCCACCAGCAACCTGGAACAATGGGGTGCCACTGTCATTCTCATCTCACAGAGGAAGGCCCTGAGCTCAGAGAAGCCATCTGGCCAGAACATGCCAGAGGAGAAACTAGAAAGCCGAGAGGAGAGATGAGCATCACACAGAGCTCTGTCCTCATCTGCTGGCTTCTTCTGAAGTCTGCATGGGTTCTCAGCAGGCTCCCGTCCCCGCTCCTCAGTCCCACATTCTCACCGACCCCAACACCTCTGTCTGCTGACTGATGAGCAGATGCCTCACTGGCTCCGCCCTGCTCATCATCTCTCCTGCTGTCTGTAGCTTCCTGCTCTGCTTCTGTTCATCCAGCTCCACCTGCCTTAAGCTTCTCAAACTTGCCAGGGCCTTCCTCCTTCCAGCCATTAAGTCCAGACTAACCATGTTTTCCATAATGTCTGGGAGGGTCTAGCACCCCTCTCCTCCAAGTACTAGACCTGATTTCCACATTGCACAAAAGTGAGGAAACAGGCTACCTGTGTGATGAGCTTTGGGCCATAGGCCAGGATCTCAGCCTCACCTTTCCCCACAGTCCCACCTTCCACCATCACTGACTCAGTATCTATAGAGCCAGCTTCAGTCTACATTGGAATATATGAAGCATCTTTACCCGACAGTACTGGTGGGCCTCACACATGTGGTGGCAGTGAGAGGGGAAGATGCTGGGGGGGACTCAGGGACCATGAGCAACCTAGCCAGGTGCAGTGGCTCCTACCTCAATCCTAGCACTCTGGGAGGCTAAGGTGGGTGGATCACTAGAGCTCAGGAGTTCAAGACCAATCTGAGCAAGAGTAACACTTCTACTAAAAATAGAAAAATTAGGCTCAGCGCCTATAGCTCAGTGGTTAGGGTGCCAGCCACATACACTGGGGTTGGCGGATTCAAACCCAGCCCAGGCTTGCTAAGCAACAATGACAATTACAACAACAACAAAAATAGCTGAGCATTGTGGGCACCTGTAATCCCAGCTACTTGGGAGGCTGAGGCAAGAGAATCATTTAAGTCCAAGAGTTTGAGGTTGCTGTGAGTTGTGACACCATGGCACTCTACCAAGGGTGACAAAGTGAAACTCTATCTCAAAAATAAATAAAAATAGAAAAATTAGCTGGGTGTGGTGGTGCAGGGCTGTAGTCCCAGGTGCTTGGGAGACTAAAGCAAGAGGTTCACTTGAGCCTAAGAGTTTGCAGTTGCTGTGAGCTATGATGCCACAGCACTCTACCCAGGGGGATAGAGTGAGACTGTCTCCAACAAGAAAAAAAAACAAACACATCAGGCAACAGCAGGGCTCCAGTACCACTTCAACCCTTCTCCTTGGGACAAATCACTTAGTTTATTTGTATAACATGGTATAATAATAATAATATCTAGTATCAAAGGGACTGTGCATGTCTGAAGTCTAGCACAGTCCCTGAAGCATTTAAGTGCCCAGAACACGGTAGCAGGCGCCTCCCTAGAACTTGTATAGAATGTAGGATCTTCCTCTCTGCCAAGTACTTCAAGTCATGGTAGAATTTTTCCCTCTGCCTGGTTAAATAAGATGGTGATAAATAACAAATACAGACCCTTAGAGTGGGGAGTGGGTCTCAGTGACTAGAGAATAAAAAGGTTGGGGGAAATAGCTGAGAAGAGGGAGAGAGAGGATAGAGAGGTGCCCAGGATGTTTTGGACATACTGTGGCCCAGGATGAGAATTTCCTTCTCATAGGCTATCCCAGTGGTCCCTGCAGGTCTGGCTGGGTGCTCTAGTCACCAAGGAGCATTGCAAAACTGTGGGTTTCTGCACTCCAGGCTGGACCTTCCGGGGTCAGAGTCCAAGGGGCTGGGATGTAGCACCACTAACCTGCATGATGCCTTCCTGTAGCCGGAGGTGACCCACCATCCCTAGAGCGCAGCCTCAATGAGGAAGTGACCATCGAGATTGTCCTGTCTAGCTCTGGTGACGAGGACTCCCAGCACGGCCCCTACTGCACAGAAGAGCCAGGGAGTCCTGCGGAAACACAGCGCAGCCTCCGCGCCTCCCACCGGAGTAGTGCTGAGGCGGGGGGCGACGGGCAGACCTCCAAAAAGTCCTACGTGTGCCCGAACTGTGGGAAGATCTTTCGTTGGAGAGTCAACTTCATCCGGCACCTGCGGAGCCGCAGGGAACGAGAGAAGCCGCACGAGTGCTCGGTGTGCGGAGAGATGTTTAGTGACAGCGAGGACCTGGACGGTCACCTGGAGACCCACGAGGCTCAGAAGCCTTACCGGTGCGGCGCCTGTGGGAAGAGCTTCCGCCTCAACTCCCACCTGCTCTCGCACCGGCGCATACACCTGCAGCCGGACAGACCCGAGCAGGGAGCATCGGAGGACGCTGGCGAGGAGCCCGGGGACACGCAGGAAAAGAGCGAGTCTGAGCTGGGCTACCAGTGCTGTGACTGCGGGAAGGGATTCCAGAGGCACGACCAGCTGGTGCGGCACCGCAGCCACTTCCACCCAAAGGACAAAGCCCGGCCCTTTCAATGCCGGTACTGCGTCAAGAGCTTCAAGCAGAACTACGACCTCCTCCGCCATGAGCGCCTGCACATGAAACGCCGGTCCAAACAGGCTCTGAACTCCTACTGAGTCCGCCCCATGCGGCCCCTGCGGGCAGGTGCTCCCCTCACAGTGGGACTGATCGCCCTCCCGCCCCACCCAGGACGCACCTTGCCCAAGATAGAGAGCAGACAGCTCCTCCTGCCTTTTGCTCTCAGGTAGCGTCCGACTTTTGTGTGGTGCCATGGTGGTCCCACCCCTCCCCCCAGATAATGAGGTAGTGGCCAACTGAGTGTTTGTTTCTGCTGTGCCAAAAGAACAGGGAGGATGTGTCACCACCAGCTTCAACATGCCAGGGGTGTCTGTGTCTGACAAGATCCCCACCCAGTGCTCTCAAAGTTGGTAGAGGGACTTGGCTGCCCCAGTCACGGCAAACCCTTGGTTACCAACCAACCCGCAATGTGCTCTTTCTCACCCTGCCCTGTGTAAACACTACCACCAGATTCCGAAGTTTGAGGGTGGCTGTGCCTCCTATCTGACAGCTGCCAAAGGGTGACGAGGGGGAGGAAGGCAGAAAGGCGGGGCAGGACTTGGAGGCACAGTGGGGCACTATGCCACCACAGCAAACCATGTCATGCCACCAGAGGTCTGAGCCCCAGGTCCATGACTGCCACACTGGCAGGCATGGAGTGCTGCAGAGACCTCAGGGTTATCAGGTGGTTCTTTGGGGCCTGGAATCCGTGGCATGGAAAAGCTCATCACACCTTTTGATTTGTCTTGGCAGCTGGTTGTTAAGATCAGGAGCTCATCCAAGGCAAAGCTTGCATTTGAAGCTGTGTTGCACACCCTCCCCAGAATGTCTTTTCTTTGTACCCTGAAGGTCCTTGGTAAATGTTTGTGAGATGGAAGCTGAGTTGTCATCATTTACAAGGCACTTAAATCCCTCCTCCTTCTGTCCAGTCTGGGATATGGAGCTCAGCCCCTAATGAAGGGTTCTGTCTGGGTGAGCCAAGCCCTGGCACAGAATCTTCCATGACTTCCTACTCCACAGGTACTTGGAGGCCAGTTGTATTAGTTTCCACAGGGCTGTTGTAACGAAGCACACACATCAAACACTGGGCACTGTATTGTCTCACTGTTTTGAAGTCTGCAAGTCCTCGGTGTCGGTGGAGTTTGTTTCTTCTGAGGGCCCTGGGTAGAATCCACTCCATGCCTGTCCGAGCTTCTGGTGCTTTGTTTGGCAATTGTTGGTGTTCTTTGGCGTGTAAAAGCATTACCCAACCTCTGCCTTCATTGTTACATGGTGCTTTTGCTGTGGAGTATCTGTCTCTGAATTTCCCTTTTGTCATACTGAGTTAAGGACCACCCTACCTACTCCAGTATAACTCATCTACACCTCCAATGGCTATTTCCAAATAAAGTCCCATTCTGAAGTACTAGGGGTCAGGACTTCAACATTGGAATTTTAGGGGGATATAGTTCAACCCACAACTCTAGGTAATCCTTGAAGGTGCTATCATGACTGATTCACATGATCCCATTGAAGGGTTTGGCTCCAAGCATCCTCCCTCAGGGCTGTGTCCTCTGTGTGGAAGAATCTTAAGTCTTTAAAGTTCAGAGCCTGAGGGTCTACACTGTGAGAGTCCATTAGTAGTGAAACCTCCGCAGTCAAAATAATGATCTTATGGTCCCTGGAAGACTGGTTATGTCAGCTGGGGCATGTAACAAAGCAGTGGTTGAATGTGAAAGCCTCAGCTAGGGAGGTGTTTTGTATTATCTGTGTATGAGATGCCACAGTGGATAGTAAGCCTGGGCAAATGAATGCAAGGTGCCTGTTCCTCTTTGTCAGCCACATAATCTTCACATCAAGAAGCCTCTGCCCAAAACCCAGTATGAAAGTTAAAAGATTTTTCTAACTACAATTACTGTTTCTGTGTAGATTCATCTACATACCCAGGAACAGTAAATGCAATAAAATCATTTGGCCATACATTGAACAAGAAATAAACTGTTACGGTTTCTAGTTTCTAAATAGTTTGTCTCTTGTATTGATCTGCCTGGAAAAGGGAGAAATCAGATTTTAAAGGCCAAGGGAGAAAACTTTCCAAACAGATGGCTGACTGTAGACAATTACCCAACCCATCTGTGTGTGGTTACCTGGCCTAAGGATGCTGTTAGGACCGCCAAGGCCTGGGAAGGTTATTTACTCTCTGACTTTAGACATCTGTCTAAAAGAACTTTCCTGTAGTTACCAGTGTATGGTATGTGTAAAACCAGATCATAAATGAGAAAGTGACAAAGGGTGTGTCATGGAACTGGAACCCCATCACCGATCCAAAGCCAACAAGTCACCTCAGTAATCAGGAGGTCACACTGCCTCTGGTTTGGAAACCCTCCTGGGTAATGTAGCTCAAATTCCAGGTTCACCCCATGCAAAGGGGGCAGGCCTGTATTGCCTTCTCTGAGGAAAGGTCTGCCAGCCCCTTGGCCATTGATATTTTTGGCTTCAGCTGGAAACAGCTGGCCCACTGGGTCCCTCTCTCCCTGTCTCCTCACGGGGGTGGCAGGCCAACTGGAGCTATGTCTCCACTTTGCCATTAATGTTGAGACCCCACGCCCGAGAGGCATCTTCTCTCTTTGTTCCTCTGATGCCCCTTTGGCATCATTCTCACAAACCCACAGGTGCATAATAAAAACTCACTTGATGAATTAACATTCCTGTTGGAGTTTTCATTGAGAAGGTAACATGGATGGTGCCCTTAGCTCAGTGGGTAGGGTGCCAGCCACATACTCCGATGTCGTGACATCATAAATGATCACGAGAGACACGGATTGACAGTACACGCTGCAGGAGGTGAGGCTAACCATAGGTGCAGGATAGCCCCGAGCACTTCTCACAGAGTCCTTTTATTGAGAAGATGCATAATGGGCGGAAAGATTACTAAGCAAAGGCATGAAGGGGCTGCGTGCTCAGGGAAATGATCTCATAAGTGCCGAGAGAGTATGTACTCGCAGAAATGATCTTCAAGGTTGGTAAGGGAAATGATATCCAAAAATACTACATGAAATTTTTCTCCACTAATTCTTCAAGGAACTGCTGTAAAAGCTTAATGGTTAACATTAGCCTCACTACTACAGAACTGAACTTTGCTTCTCCAGGATCACTGAGTTACTTGGTGGCTTGCCTTCAAGGTCACAAGAGATTTCCAAGAGAATGTCTTGTTCTCAGTAACTCCTCAGATGAGTTATGATATTGGTGGCTGTTGGAATATGATGTTTAATCCTCAATACTCCGAGGCTGGTGGTTCAAAACTGGACCAGACTAGCTGAAACAACAATGACAACTGCAACAAAAAAATAGCTGGGCATTGTGGCAGGTGCCTGTAGTCCCAGCTACAGAGGAGGGAGGCAGAGGCAAGAGAATCACTTAAGCCCAAGAGTTTGAGGTTGCTGTGAGCTGTGATGTTACGACACTCAACAGCCTGAGACTGTCTCAAAAA